CATCAAAGCTAGATGGTGGAGGCACATGTAATACCTCTTTTAAAAATTCATTTTGGGGTGATTGAACCCAGGACCCTGTGCAAAAAGTACTTTGGCACAGATGGCACAGAGTTGTATCCATAGCTTTAATAATAATAACTTAAAAATTGAAACAAGCCTGTATCCCATTGTGGCTTTAAACTCCCAGGCCATCTTCCTGCCTTGGGTCTTTAGTGCTGGACCATGGGGAGGAGTCACCATGTCTTGCTGGCTGTGCAGATGCCTTCACTTGTTTTCTATTCCACCATTCTGAGTACAGGCAAGGCCTGATCATGATTTCCCACAGACCACTGTAATTCTTTAAGATGTTAAGATGTTACAGATAAAAAGCACATTTAGGAGGCATTGTGTGTCTGTTACTCTGTGTCTAAGGAGTTAAGAGTAGCATTTAACCATGTGTCCCATAGCCTTATGAGTATGAAAGTACTTAACAGTGGTATGTTCATGAGTATGAAAGTACTTAAGTTGGGTATGTCCATTCTTGACATTCCAGTTAGGCTCAGCACATAAAAGAATCCCTTCTTACACAGTCTGGCAGCCCTAAGTCGCAAGTATAAATATTATTTGCTCCACTGCCATTCTTAGAAGATTTTTAATTTCTCTGTACTTTGGTAGTTGTATCTTAATGAATTCTAAAATTATTTACCAATCTTGCACTTTGAAACCATTTTTAGCAACAAAAACAAAAAATAAACTTTCTACTAGGTATAAACTAACTCATTTTACCTAGAACTTATATTCCTTTGAACTTCTTTTTGGGTTGCCAGGCTGTCCCCAAGTACCTTCACCCACTAAGCCACCTTGCCTAAATTTGTTGCTTTTAAGGAAAATTATTTTCAATTCCTACACCAAAGAATGGTAGCATGTTTTAGCAGATTCCAGATTACACCATAACAGGACTCATTGTCATTGGGTCACAGGGCCATCCCGTTTCTAGGGCACTAGATTAAAGGCATTGATTGATGTCTCCTGTACTCAGGGTTACTTGTTCTAGTGTTTTTAGCCACTGAGTGTATTAAATACTTTTTAACTTAGCCTGTGATTTGTTTAATGTGTTGATTTTTGAACTCAAGCCAAGCTGTAAATTTCTCTTAACTATATGAGGGTGATGACATTTAGTATCAGGTTTCTGAATTGAAAACTCATCTTTATATAGGTCATCACCAGAAAAAGATGTGTTTATCTGAGACTGTCCTGGTCTGGTTAGTAATTTTCACTAACACTTACAGTTCACAGGTGTATGGTTTTGTGTGAACTTAAAAAATATGCTTTTAGAAGTGTGGGGTGCTTGTGCCACGGGACACTTGGAAGCCAGAGCATCTTGGGTGTTCTTCACTCCATCAACTCTCAGAAGTAACTGAGCTTGCCAAGCTTATAGCTAGTGTCCTTAACCACTGAACCGTTTGCTGGCTCTAGTTTTTACCTTGTTAAGCAGCAACTCATTGTAATTTTCCCTATTACTTGGCTCAGTGGTTCAGAATATACAGGTGTAAAGGGTCTCAGATAATACTGTGAGCCTTTTGGAATAGTGGTTTACAAAATTTGACAGTTTCTTGTATCACTGCTTCCTTATGTACTCCTGTCCTTTGGAGAATGCTTGAAGGCAAGAAAATTAGCTAAAAATTCATGGTGGCCAATGGACTTTCAGGACTACTTAGTATGCTTAGCATTATCAAAGAAGTAAAGTTTCTAAGAAAGTAAGCTAGGGCTTCTATCCTAGTAATGTCCACACCAAAGGCAAGCTTTGGACAGAGAACCAAACCATAAATGAACATGATAAATTGGGAAAGACAGGCCCAGGGTTCAGTCATTGTTTTATTAGCTAATATTCATAAAATACAGAGGAATCCTTAAACTTTAATTCCGTTTGTCCTTCTGGGTAAAGACTTGCTCAAGCTGGGGACAAAGCAAAAATGTCAGGTATTGGAGTATAGGCTTATAATCCCGGATCTGGGGAAGTGGAGACAGTTTGTTAGGGTTCACTGGCTAGTGTGCCCTCCCCTCCAACTTCCTAACAAGAGTTAGGTACCAATGAAACTTGTCTGAAAAAACAATCTGGATGATTTCTGAGGGAAAACATTGAAGGTTGGTGTCTTCCCTTCCCCCCCCACACACACACCTTAGCCTTACTGATTCCTGTGGCCCTAATGCTCTTAACCAGTTATCTACAGTACCTGATGGGAATGTTGACAAATGCTTGCTTAGCTTGTGGCAAAACAGTCCAGTCCTCGACACCTTTTATATGTGTGTATACAATTGGACACTTAGCAAGTATCACCAACAAAACATGAATGCATGATCAGATTAGAACTGTGAAAGGTTAAATACAGGAGTTAGGGGCATAGAAATGTGAATCTGAAGAGAAACAAATTTTCCCATATGGCCTTGTCTCCTTGGACACATTACTAAAATTTTGTTTCCTTATGGTAGTTGAGAATGCTTAGCACAATACAGGAGGCTTTAAGCATGAAAGAAAATAGCATAGAGAAGGGCCTTTTACACATCTGTTCCTAAGAGCCCTTAACACATGTGACATTTAAGTGTTATACCTAGAGCTCTCAATGAAATAGTTTCTTCAACTTGCAAAGGTAAGCCTAGAGAAAATAAAACTTACTAACAAAGAATGAATTGCTGTGCTTAGTAGAAATGCTTTCAATGTTTTGGCACTGTATTCTAACAGGCATGTATAGCATTTGATACTCAAAGGTACTTATGTCTAGAGTGCGTTAATAGGTGACTGCTTGTGGGCATGTTGTAATAGTTTGTTTTTTCAAAAATCTGCTTTTAAATCTATTACTGCTCACAGAAACATTTAAAATTTTTGTTTTTTGTGTATGGTTATTTTGTCTGCATCTGCACCATGTTGAGGCTGTGCCCAAGGAGGCCAGATGATTGTATCAGATCCATGGAACTGGAGTTAATATGTGGTTGTGAGCCGCTATGTGGGTTCTAGGAATCAAACCTGGACCCTCTGGAAGAGAGATGGGCTTAGTGGGTAAGCCATCTTTGCAGCCCTGAAACTTAGTTCAAATGACCAAATTAAAGGTTAGTAAGATACCCTCATCTGTGGATTCCTTAAGTGCATTTACCTTCTTGCTAACATAAAACCCACATCAACACTCAGCATGCTTTGCTGATCATTTGTAATGTCCTGCCTTCAAGTAAGGCGATGCAGTATGTGCTGTGTTTGTGTTTTGTATTGGTGATTTCTCTAATCCTTCTAACTCTAGTGGTGGAGTGCTATGTTCCTGAAAACAAGAAAGGCTGTATATGCCAAAGTTTAAGCTGTAGTGCTTCTAGCTTTAATACTAAGGAAGCAAGAAGTCATGTTCATAGAGAGGTATATATATAGAAGTTCACAAGACTGCCATCAACAGAATCTTACATTTGCTAGTTTAGTAGTATGGCAACTTCACAGAACACAACTGTTGTGAACTGAACCTTCACCTTCACCTGGACCTGTGTGATGGGGTTTGGAAGAGTTATTGCTACACAAAATCTCTAGAAGCTAGTTTTCATCACACTCAAAATATTTTAACATTAGTGGCAAGGATTCTGAGCAAGGGTATAAGATAGGAAGGAAGTAAATAAAAAGCTATTTACTGTTAATTATTATTACTTATCCCATTAATACCATTAGTGCCTTTGACCAGATTCAGATACCATCTTACTTACCTCTGCATGCTCTTAATAACTCAAAGTTGAGGCAGTCTAAAGTGCTGATAGGATTAAATGCTATAGGGACCACCAGCTAGGGAGTTTATCTCCTAATCTATACAGATCCAATACATACTTTAATGTTGAACTAAAAGTACCTGCCTTAAAATGTCACTTGGATTCACAGTATGTAAATTGGCTAACAGTTGAGGTTGAATATCACAACCTCTTGCTTTTCATGTCTGTGATTAAAGGCATGCACTACAACTGGCTCTCAATATTTTGAGGGGGTTTTTACATTTACAAATAATTGTAAGTGAATTGTGTAAAAAGCATAACAAGTACCACTTATATTTTTAAGGGACTAACTAAAAAGAATTAAAAAAAAAAAAACAAACATTAACACTACCTATACACTGAAAGGTATACTACTGGGTGTGGTAGCACATACTTTTGATCCAGTGAACTACCTAAGGCATTTAAGATTAATAATTTTGGATTACAGTGTTTTAAGTACTTGGGCTAGTTGAAAACCTTGAGTTTTACCGACCAACGATCCCTGCCTGTTTCATTTGACTGCAGTATGCCATTCTCAGGGCAAAGCCTTAGCCTTAAAGAGCAACACAAGCACTAAAATTTTATTAAATAACAGTTTTTATTCAAATGGTGTGTATCTGTAGTTGTAATTGCTAATACTATGGTGTTAATTTTGAAATCCTCAAACTAAATAGACACTGATTTAGCTTACTGCCAAGCCATTTTCACAAAGTGTAACTGAGGTATTTTATTATAAAATCATATACATAGACTAATGAACTCATAATTAATCACATTTATTTTTTAGCTTGACCTTCTAGTAAGTCTTTAGCTTCATTGATCTTGGCTGCTAAATAAGGAGATCCTCCTATAGAAGAAAGGGGTGGGGGGAGACACAGTTTAGAGCAAAACTACTTGCATTTATTTCACAGATCCCAGGTTTTAACAGAAATATCTTCATTTTCTGAAAAGCAACTGTGATAATATAAACATGTCATCAAATTAGAGGGTAAAATATTTGGCCAGTGGGGAATGAAGTGTTCTGACACAAAAATTTTACCTTTTAAAAACCTTATTTAAAATCTTACTGAAATAGGATTTAGACCTCCCCACAAAGTGTTGGAAACTATTACTGCATATGTGAACATAATCCACTGAAGTCCCAGGGGCTTCTGGGCTTATGTTGGAAAGATCTATTTGCTTTACATCCTTTTGCTTCAGTTTCCCTCTTTTGATATTAGCTGACTCTTTCTAATGTCTTCTATATTTGCTGTTTTACTAACCTGATGGAGCAGTATAGTCCTAAGCCCATAAAAGAGCATCAAGAAGATGCTGGTAGAATGTATCTGTATGGACTGGACCTAAGCATCCTGAACAGAAAACTTAAGTAATTTAAGCTTAATTCCTAATACTGTGAAATCACAATATCCTCTTATAAGCAAAAAGATTTGTGCATGACAACAGACTTATGTGGTCTTAGTTAAAGGAATCCCTTGCTTTTACTAGTTAAAGCCATGTTGAAGTGTATCAAAACAAACAGCTTGTAGGTTTCCAAGTAGGTGATTCCTATACCAAGTTTAGACCAACGTTGGCAACATAGCAAGATGTCTTCAAAACAAAACAAGCCAACCAAAATAGTATTTGTGACCTTCATTCCTGGAAGATATTTTATCAAACACAGAACCTAAAAGCAGTATTAATATTTATTACTACTGCCAACTCAATGGCTCTTTTGTTCATTATGCTTTTGTGAGACAAGGTCATCACTGCAGCCCCAGGTTAGTCTTTGACCCTCTTGTCTCAGCCCCTTCCCTGAGTGCTGGAACTACATAAGTGTGTCACCATATAGGGTGGTTTAACTTATAGACACTGGTCCGCACCTCAAAGACTACTCATCTGTACATTTAGACCAAGAATTAGGTATCCCATTAATAGTAGTGTTTAATAAAAACTGTGTGGTTACTTACCCTTGTCTGGGTGGTTTAAGAGCATGATCCGTCGATGAGCATCCCTGATCTTTCCTTTATTGGCAGTAGGGCTAATGTGAAAAGGAAAGCATAAATTGTCGCTTTAATTTACTTAAAATCACATACACACAACTATACAGAAGGGCAGATTTAACATTGTTCATAAGCCTCACAGATGTGAAATGGATTTTCTAAATCAGAACCAAATTATAGTGCTTCACCTGACAATCCTTATTCAACATTTCATTTGCAAATGGGGGCACCAGGCAGCAGTGAGCACTATCATAATCTGTTCCATAACTTTCCGTTGAAAGTCCTGTACTTATATAGTTAGGTTAGGCTTAAAGATGTTCATGGAAGGAACTGACCAACATAAAATCAATGTCTCCTTGGGACGGAATCCCTAGTAACTACCTTATTTTCAATTGTAGGAAAATAAGCTTACCCTACATCTCACATTAATAACTAGTAGAAATCTTACCTTACACCTAGTATTAATGCTGCCTCCCGTTTTGTCATTTTGGGTTCAAACCCACCTCTATAGTACCCACCACTGAAGGCCTGAAAGGAAAATTGAATTGGAAGAATTAATGAACTAAATGTAAGGTTGGTTAAATCAATTAAATAAATAAATAAACACAAGTGTATTCCTCAAAGTATTTTAACTTGATAAGTGGTAACTATTGTAACAAGTATTAAACATTCACTTCTTCCAGCCAAACTGGAACAAACTGTCTTGAAGATAAAAGTCAAGAACAAAACCAGGAGTGAACGGAGACCATTGTCACCCTTATTCCTCATTAAATAGCAGTATCATACCTGGTTCAAGGCAACCCCTAAAGTTTATGACAATGTAGGGGAAATTGTGCCACCAGGACCTTAACCTTAGCAGAGAATAACGGACACCAAGGTCTTATGTTGTTGCTCAAGCTGTCTATGACATGAGCAGCAGCACTGTGCTATGCCCAGTTCCCATTGGCTCTTAATCACAACAGGGGTGTGATGTTTGTAGTTACCAGATGAGGGGGAGGCATTTGGTGGACAGATACTAAGATCAACAGTATGTGAGTTGTAAAGTTAGCTACCTTTCATACTACTAGACCTGAGGCGGTCACAACCCTGCGTGACAACTGATTGCTAGTGAGGCACCAGTGCAAGGTTTGCTACTCCTCCCTGGACCTGTGGGACTCAGGCTGTAGGACAGTTCTAGGCTTCAAAAACAGGCAATACATTTAGCAAAAAAGTTTTAAGTCTTACAGATTTTGGTAGGCTTTGAAAAACTTGTTTTACTTGAGGTTCCACATGCTTCATGGCTTGTAAAACATAACGGCCTAAAACCAAAATCAATACAATAGGAAATTAAATCCATAGCCAGTCTAGTCTTCCACCCCCAAACCACAAACAAACCTGCAAATCCTGCAGCAGCAATGGTCAGTCCAACCGCTACCACTGTACTGGCCTGGTAAGGGAGAGAAAGAAATTTTGACTTCTCTGCCACTTATTCTGCATCCAAAACATCACAACCCTCATCTCGGTGAAAAGTGAATTCTTTTTCCCTTCAGGAGTTGGGGGAACCCAGGGTGTCACACATGCAAGGCGCCAAGCTGATAGGACTTCATCCAGCCTTTGTGAAAGTTCCACTTTCATTTAGTCTTGCTAAATTGTCCAGGCTGGCCATGAATTTGCGATCCTTCTGCTTCAGTGTCCTTAGTGGAACGAAATAGAGTACAGAGATGCACCAGGCCTCAATCTTTTTCTGTCTTCAAAGCACTGCATTTTGACGCCATGCACGATGGTGGCTTTTTAATGTCATTTAATCCCAGCACGTGGGAAGCATTAACAGGTGTATCTCGAGTTCTGGGACAGCCAGGGTTACACAGTGAGACCCTGTCTCGAAAAAAGTTAAAAAAAAAAAAAAAACTGCATAATTTACTGTCGGGTGTGGAATTTTCGCTAAGAAGAAAAGGGAAAGTCAACTTGCTTAGCCAGAACAGTAAGAATGACTTCAGACGTCGAAAAAGAACTTTAAACCCACAGACACTAGAACCTCATTAAAGTTTAAACAAGGCCGGTGGAAATCAGATTTCTGCTGGGTTAGGAAACAGTGCTTGCAAAGGTTCCCACAAGATTCTCACAGGGCATTTCTATCATTGAGGATTTGCCGTGGGGGTCAGCAAGCCGACCTCCCAGGAGGCGCAAACGATTGCCTTCAAGGGGAAACCCGGCTGTCAGGAGGCCGGAGCGAAGGTCTGTCCTGGCTTCCGCCCGGCCAGCGCCGCGTCAGCCCACCAGCGCGGGCCACTCACCATGACTCCGCTCCGTGGCCCGGCACCGCGCACTCATCCCAGCGCGAGCCCACCGCCACAGCACGTCTGAGTAGACCGCTGCGGCCCAGCCAACACCGCCTCCAGGGCCAGAAGCGCCGCGCAACACGGCAGGAGCGCCGTAAAGCGCGTCAGAAACTGTCGCACAGGGTGCTGCGAAAGGGGCCGAGCAACTCCGGTTGACTGAAAGGTCGGACGGGGGCGGGGCTTGCCGTGCCCTCCACCCTTAAAATGAGTTTTCCGGTTAGGTTAAACCGTACCGACCTAACTTTGTTTTAAATGGGCATTTCCGTCCACTGTGTGAAAGTAGTGCTGTTTTTCAGATGCAGATATTCTTGTGCTTCTTTGACTACCTAATGTGCTCTGTGGCCAGTGGATATTAAGAAGGCAGGAGACCGATGTTCATGGCCTGCAGAGATAATCTTTCTTCCTCTGGCATAGAACTTTGTATAGAAAGTTAATTTTTCCATCTCCTTTCTTTGGTTTTCTTTAGGCTACACGAATTTGTTCACTAGAGAACACAACTGCTGTGTGTTCGTTGTTCATTTTCTCTCTGATTAAAAGAACTGCTGCATCTGCGTTGCCCTGAGTGTGTGGTTGATTGGTCCAAGAAGGGCAATGCACGTGACTGGACTGAAAGTGACCAGGAGGTGTCTTTCTGCATGAAGGCTCTCTCTAGGTTGTGAGAAAATATAAGCCATGTGTGATCTCAGCGGAAACTAGAAAATTAAGGTAGCTTAGGTAACTGCTCTTTTCAAATGAGATCTTCTTACTGACTCTCCATTTCATTTCATCACTGCTTGGCATTGGCTTTGGCTTCGGCCTCCCTAAGCTTTCCCCTAGTTTTAGCCAGAGGTCCATTGTACAAATATTTCATTCTTTAATTATGCTTCTGTAGTGTAGCTATTGTGAATGTTTTTTTTCAGTGGACATGGATGCACAGAAAGTAGTCTGACACTTTGATCTCCATTCTCTTGCCTGGGTGGGCAGGAATGAAATACATGTATCCTGTGATATTTGTAGCTGTTGTAATGGTTTGAATCTGAACTGCCTCTCAGAAGCTCAAGGTGGTGCGCGCGTGTGCGGTGCGTGTGCGTGTGCGTGTGTGTGTGTTGAACGCTGGGTTCTCATGGCAGAGATGTGTAGAGGTAGAGTGTTGGGGAGGTAACTGGATGGTGAGGGCTCTAAGCAGGTCAGTGGGTTAATCCATGATGAGTCGCCGATTGGTGGTCTGCTGGGAGATGATGGAGACTTAGCTGAATTGTAGTTATGTGGAACATGTCCTTCTTTCCAGTTCCTCTCTTTCTCTCTCTGCTTCTTGCCCATCATTCATTTCTGCTGTAAGACTCTGTGTTCCTCACCCTAAATTTTGCTTCATCAGATACTCAGAAACAGTGGAACCAGCTGATCATGGATTGTTAGCTCCAGTGTGATTTAATTTTGTCAGTCACTTTACCATATTAAAGGAAAGGTAACCACTGTAGCTGCTGAGCCACTTCTTTACATTCCTGTAAGTGAAGTTCGTGGTGTATGAGGACCTTGGTCCACACTCATGCCCACATTTGATATTTTCTGTTTTTATTTGACTTGAGTTTCTCCTGATCAGTAATGCTGAGTGCTTTTCTATGTGTTTGATCATCGTGTGTGTATCTTTGGGGAAATGTCCATTCAAGTCTTGACCATTTGGGGGGTTGGAATTTTTATTTGTTGTTAAGGTTCAGGAGTTCTCTATGTGCTCTGGGCACCAATGCCTTATCAGTTACATGCTTTTCTATTATTTCCCAATCTGTATGAAGTCATTTTACTCTGCTGGTTTTGTGTTTTGAGGCACAGCATTCTAAAAATTTTATAAAATCCAATTCTCTGATTTTTTAAATTCTTTGTTGTTGTTATCTGGGCCTTTTATTTACTCCCAGAGCCAATGTCATGTTGCCCTTGGTTTGATTTTAGAGGTTTTGTAGTTTTCTGGCTTTGATCCAATGTGATTTGCTTTTTCTGTTCAGCATTAGGCAATGGTTCCATCATTTTGCAGATATTTGAGTGTGTTCCAAGTATTGCTTGTAGAGACAGTTCCTTTCTTTTTAAGTTAATGAAGTTAGGGTGAGCTTTAAGAAATCACCTTGTAGAGAGAGTTCTAGTGAGTGTCCAACATGTTTTCATTCTGTAGGACCACCATAATAAGATTCCACAGGCAGGTTTATGCAATAGAAATGTTCCTTTAAATCCTAAAGGCTGGACAGGTAAGATCAGGGCACTAGTAGGTGTAGTTTCTCTGAGTGACTTGTAAAATTTAAAAATAAGAAAAGGAGAACTTATAATCAGCTTCATAAAGAAAACACTTGTATCATGGCCATGACTGACTACTCTCGTCCTGCTGAGAATCGTGGCCATGGCTGACTACTACTGCCCTGCTGAGTGATGGCTATGTATCAGAACTGCTCTTGGCTTTGCTTTCCTACTATTGAAAGCAGATGCTCATCCCCTGGAAGCAGCTGACCAAACCTTTCCAACTGACCATTCATTTCCCAGCCAAAAGTGGTAATGGAAGTTAAGTATCATCCTCCTAAGAAACCATCCCTCACAGGGTGCTAACCAGGGGTCGTCTCTAATGCCAGACTCAAGATCTGCTTGGCAAAGCTGTGGCCCCTGGCAGGTCACCTTTGTTCGAGGTCATGATCATTGTATTTCCCTAGTTAAAACTGGAACACTTGATCGGGCAGTCCCAGGAAAATGATGTGTTTTTGACAGATATTAGGGTGGTCTAAGATGTTTGGCAAGGGATGTAATGTTTCCTCATTTGACCTGGCCTGTTTCTGGAGAGGAGCCTCTTTTGGAGTGGGGTGATTGTGGGTTTTTTTGTAATCATTTGGAATGAATTGAGGAAGCAGTCAGAGTACTCTGGTTGGGTTAGGACTTGAGTAGGATCAGAGCACACTTGTAGTTCAAGGGTTTAGAAAAGGGTTTTACTCCCTTTTCTAAAAACAGCTTTGATTAAACTACATGGATTCCTCTTTTGATTGTGCACCTACCTGAAGTACTGTCTGCTATTTGGAAATTGTAGTTAGTATTGAAATTTACATTTAAATATGAATCATTCAGGATACACATCTGTATCTGCATAAGGGGATTATTCTTATGGTGCGGTGTGGGCTTACTATTCACTGTAGTGCCTCAGCTATCAGTGGAATCTCAAATGATTGGTGTACAGAGGCAGAGACTGCTTGCTAGTCTAGTCCCCAGTTCCCTTGATCCACGGTACCTCTCACTTATTGAGGACACCGTTCTAATTTACATGGTCCCTGTGTTCCCTTAAAGGAAAGCTGACAAGGGTGATGGATGCAAATTTAACTTTTTCTCCTAAATGAATTCAAGCTTCACTAAGATGTACCTGCAACCTTTTATGGCTATGATTTTAATAGTTAATATACTGCCAGCCAACTGATGGGCCAAGCAGTTACAGTAACTCCAGTCCTCAGATCTGATTGTGTAGGTCCAGTACTGTGTGCTGCTCTTCACTGTACTTATAAAGTGAGACACGAGCAGAATCCAGGGATCGATTTAGGAACAACGGGCAACTGAGTTATGGCATCACTGTCATGAGAGGTTTTGATACGCTTGGTAGTTTTCAGTAGCTGCAATGGTTAGTGCTGCGGTGGGGTGGCAGTCTCATGCTGCCGTGATGTACTTGGCAATGCCGGCTAAGCTTCTCTTCCGCCTCTGAACATCATTTGTAAAAGGAGAGTTTGAAATGGGTCCTTTCTCTTCTCTTCTTCCTCTCTTTCTATCCCTCTTCCTTCTCATTCTTTACAATACTGGGGGGTTGAAGCCAAGGCTTTGCACATGTTAGCTAAATACTTCCACACTGAAATACTTTCCAGCCTGCAAAGTTCTTGTAGATCCTTAAACTGCCTTTTTGAATAAGATAATTGTAGGACACTTTTTTTTTTTTTTTAGCGCATTTTGATACATGGAAATAGAATCGCAATTGTATTTAAACCCCAGAAATGATGCCAGCAAAATGGCAGGATAATTTTTAGTCCTCATTCCCCACAGGATTACCAGTTTTGAATGTCACAGACAGATGAGAATTCCTTTGTCAGAGCCAAGGAGTTTAGAGGTGAAAGGGGGTGTGGGGGAGGGAAAGGGAGAAAAGGAACAAATGTGTAGGTATACTTAATGGAATAAACACATCCCCTCCCCCAATGCTGCACAGCTCTGTGTCACGAGACACAATGCTGGCCCTGAATTTCTTCTATGGGAAAAGGTAATGAGTTTGTATCCTTCTCAGTGATGGGGACACTCCCCAAGAGGCTTACTGAGTTCTCACCTCACTTGGAGGACTGAGGGGTTTGGCAGCAATGAATAGTTTGTAGGTTATAAGCACCAAGAGACAGACTGGGTCATAGCAATGGGATTCAGTGCTGGTGGCCATGTCAGAGGAGAAGCAGATGACAATTGACCTCAGAGGATTGGCCCACTAGGAAGCAAAGCTCTGATGGGAGAATCTCACATAGGCAAGGCCCATTGGTACCAGAATGTCTCTTGCTTCTGCTGTGTCTTTGCATGTTTGACACTGCTTTGTGTGTGTGTGTGTGTGTGTGTGTGTGTGTGTGTGTGTGTGTGTGTGTGTATGCGTGCGTGTGTTTCTGGCATCTGGCATGGTATTAATGGGTAAGGGGGAATCCCCATTGACCTTAATGTAATGTGATTATCTCATGTAAATATCCCATTCTACCAGGCATTTTTACTTGTGAATTATTATGAAGATGATTTCCTCTTAAGATGTACTGTTAAAGTGTTGCCCCCTGCTGTGGAATAATCCTTTTTTGGACATTGTGAATATGTATTATTCTCATTGTTAATAAAGTACTGACTGGCCAATAGCTGGACAGGAAGATGTTAGGCAGGAGAGCAAAACTGAGAGGACACTGGGAAGAAGGGTAGAGTCATGAGGAGCTGCCAGCCAGATGCAGAGGAAGCAGGAAATTGAACAGGCCTTTTGACGTTACTGTAAATACAGAAACAAACAAACAAAAACCCTCAAAGATGACAAAGACAAAGAAACTAATGAAATAAGTCAATCCCAAGACATGAAAATAGAGTTCAGATTGCTGAAGGAAGCCTAACTGA